ACACACATAATGTATAAATTGACTCCTGGTTGAGAATAACAACAACTGTATATTAAACAGCAGATATACGTCTGCCTGAAATAGAAATTGACTTGAGAGGATCTAGTCTCTTTTTGAGATCTTAAAGAGATATATTTGCTCCCATGTTTTTTGGCTGAAAGTTACCTTTACTATTACCAGGATGATAGAAGACAAGTCCTACTATTCAAATTAATGATAGAGCATGGTGGGCAAGAAGCTCAGCAGACATGAATTTTACTAATTTCTCAACAGATGATTATGACCAATAATGCAAGACATATACCTGATTGACTTAAATTTCTAATGGTTAATGGTTGAAATAAATAAGTGTGCAAGACATGAGAGGTCATATAGCATTATGGTAGAGTATTGTGGTGAAAGTGGTAAAAATGAGTTAATGATTAGGATAAAATATGTTAGATGTCAAAGATTATAGAGCTTATAAGATAGTATGGTAGTGAAAAGTATAAAGAGGGGAAAGAAATTAAATAAAGTAGAGATTAGTAAAAGAGGAAAAGGTTAAAGGAAAAGGTTAAGGGCATAGGGTAATTGGATGATATGGAGTGTACTTGTGGTTCGGGATGGAATAGGGACAGCATTTAACCCCTATGATCCAGGTTGGGTTCCGTGAACATGCCGTCATCGGATAAAATGTTGATGGGCCAGGTGATGCAAATTTGCTGTCATGAACGAAGGCTATGTGACAGAAAAGATTCGCCATGAGTACACAAACCTCTTGGAGTATGATTTGACTCATTTGGCATTTAGGAGGGAGCTTTTGCATTATTCCCATCAATAAACAAATGAGGAATGTAAGGTGTGTAAGCTGAGACTGGAAGAGTGCCGGCTCCAAGGAGGAAGCCATTTCTATGCTGCACATCAAATTTCTGGCTGCTGTGACTGGCAGCACTGGTTGTGTTGCAGAAAATTGAAAAGTGCAAAAAACATAAGATTTATGACACAAATAACCAAATGTTCCATATTCTCCTTTTCTTGCACCAAGGTATTTACTACATAGAAAGGTGATAAGGAGTCTGTGCAAGGAAAATAAGCTATTACTGTCTGGATAAAGAAAATCAAAGGACAAATATGGACATTGGAAAAAGGCAAAAAGCTGAAAAAGTTTAAGCAAAATAACTTTGCAAAGGGCAGGCACAGTCTTGTCACCGCTCATGAGTGCTTGTGTGCATCCAGCCTACGTCCAGGATATTGGACACTTACGTAACACACTGCTTGTATTTTCGGCACTGTGATTTTCGTGATGCAATAGGATCCAATGGGTTAAGGAAAACTACCAGAAGATCTATTATGAAACAATCAACAGCTAATACGGGTAGAGATGGTTGTTGGAGAAGCAGGAGGAAAACAATCCGACGAATGAGGTAAGAGGACAGGGGAAGGTGGTGAAGTATGAGGAAGAATGTCAGGAGGGGAGGGATCCAGAGAAGGACACTGTTGCGACGGAAGGGATTAATGTGAGGATCCAGGTGGGAGCAGTAAGGATAATGAAGAGGGAATGGTGCATATGGAGATGGAGAGGGTCGGGTGTGTTGGGAAAGACTGGGAGGAAGAGGGGAAGGGAGAACTTGAGGAGGAGGAGGATGGATATCGGCAAATACTTTGAATGCAGAGGAAATGGGAATAGAGGGATTGGAGGGTGGATGAGGGAGAGAAGCATTCTCTTGGGTCATGTTTATGGATGTCACGGGTTTCTGGAGAAGAGTTGAGTGGGGAGGTCTGAAAACAAAAGTTCTCTTGTACGGAGAAGAGGGGATAGAAGTCCAAGGAGCAGATGAAGAGGAGGGTGTAGGAGAGGATATGGCAGGAGAAAATGGAGTGGAATGTTTAGGCTATCTGGTGTGACAGGTAAAGTGAGAAGGAGAAGGGGTAGGCATTGGGGATGTGGTAGAGATTGAAATATCTGGATTTATTGGGGAAGAGAGGTAGGAGGGTTCAGGGTAGAGGGAAGAGATACTGGGGGAGATGTTCAAACATCTTGAGAGGATAGGAGGGGAGCATAGTGAAGGACAGATTTGGAGCAGTTAGAGAGAGAAAAACCTCATCAGCATGCTTCCTGTCTGGCCTGATGTAGAGCAAGGCTAGTCTGAATCTGAGAAATGCTACCTCACATTCAAGAAGGGGTAGGGAAACCAATGAAATAAAATTTAGATAAGCTAGTTGCTGATAGGGCAAGCCCTAATATCCTTAATAAGGATAAAAAACCTTCAATATTGGCCGTGATAAGCCTGAAATAAGGGTGGAAATGAAATAGTCTACCCCTCAGGATCCCCATTAGGGGTAAAGGCTAGGCAACTGACCAAGGGAATACCATGCCCATGGCTCCCAGAGGTTGTTAATGACTGACACAAAGCCAGCCTTGAATTCTTTCTGCACAGCTCTCACATCTTAAGAAGTGGAAAGAAGGGGATGAAGAAGAGAATGAAAAGGAAAGGGAGAGAAGAAAAGACCAAACAAAATT